CCTCACTTGCTGAAATCGGTTGCACTTTTCGATTTTTAAGTAAAATATCGCGTACAAAGCATGTGTGATACAGCCGCTTTGATGCTAGAGGTTGTACAACGAAAACGATGGCATTATTAAACGATTGCCAGAAGGCAATGCTGCAGGCGGACCAGGAACACCAAAGTGAAATGCGTTGTATACCGATCTATGGGACCTTTTTTTTGGCAGTATCCAAAATGATGAAACATAAGGACAGGTTTCAGCCTCTCTGGCAATAAAAAAAACAGGTGTTAAGATATTAAAGCTTTCGTTACTGCGTAAAATTACTCATTGTTTTTTTTATATATATAATTTTATTGTATTTCTACATACGTGACTTTACCGAAAAAAAACCAATGAGTAGGTGTTAAGATGTTCTAACGCCAACTAGATGCCTTCATTGCAAGGCATCAAGTCTGCATTAACCACACGCACGTACTTGTGGCGAAACACGACGGCAAGAAGGCTCACCGGGGATCGTGGAATTCCAAAGCCAAAGAAGCACAGTTGAATCACGATCCCTCGTAGGGTAAATATGTTCACGCTGCCGGGACCATGCACACATGCTTTTGGAAGCGACGTGACGCTCACAGGTGCGCACCTTGGGTTCACCTTTCTTGGGGATCGTTAGCATGGCAGTGCGTGCATTCATCATCCTGCACGTGAGTGAACAAGTGAATCCATTTTTTTTTATTTTAAAGCTTTCGTGACTGCAGGGATTCATATTCTTGGTCCTTTCGGTAAAGTCACATAGAAGGGAAACAATAAAATAATATATTTTATTATTTTATTATTATTTTATTGTTTCCCTTCTAAGTGACTTTACCGAAAGAACCAAGACTATGAGTGAATCCAATGTTGATTTGTGCTGAAAAAAGTCAGTGTGCGTTTGTACGTGCGCTCAATTACCATTCGTTTGTAAATAAAACGAACTTCTATATATGAAGTAGTTTTATAAATGTGCAGTAAAGGTAGCATATTTTGCACAAGCTGCTCTACAGTAACAAAAAATACAGACACCCTCTTCAAGTGAGAATGCAACCGCTCCCTCCAACGTCCCCAACACCTAACAAGCAGGCTACCACAACAACATGAACAGTATTTTCTTCTTGCGGTCCGGCACGCTCTACACTCTTTTGCCAACTAACCTTGGCGAATGAGCCGTGTCATTGGTTCAAATGTACGCGTGAGAACATAGACCCACCAATCCGGCCAATCGCACACGCTTGGAGCAATCGAAATGCGCAGTTGACAGCTGACGCGCCTATCCCCTGGGCAAAATTACTGTGGCTGTTATTGGAGAAAGGTACAGGGTAGATACGTTACGAAAAAAAAACATACCAGCATTTGAGAGAGGAAAAAAAACACGCCCTTATGTACGAACTACAACAGTCAAATGTTTACCGAATCAAGGAGGAATCGATTTTGTAAGCAATTGTGTTCGGAAGTATTTGATTAGCAACAATAGCAATGTCTTCCAAGCCGCGCAAAGGCCAAATTGATGAAAGTGCAACCGCTTTGATCGATGTGGTCCCTACACGCAGCACAACTTTCCGCGAAAGTTTTAATCACATTGAATCATCTTTACTCCAGCCATCATGACCCCCTGTTACAGGCAGGCAGACAGACGGACGGAGAGCTCATGCGTTAAAGCTTTTGACCCGAGTTGGGAAGTGCGTTCAAAAAGTACTGAACCAGCATTGCGAAGGACCTGGGTTTTTAATCCCAGGTTCCTTGCCATCCCTAAGCAGAGGGAGTTTCGTGAATGTCTGAGCTGAGTGGGCAGTGTGCCGGCATCTCCTGAGCAGTGAACACAGAGAGAGAGAGAGGGAGATCGGGGCCCCACCACGCCCAGCTCGATTGCGTGACTTAACAGCACACAAAGGGATGGTGGCAACAGGACACCTGCAATGGGCATTCAGTGGGCATCCCCGAGAGACTGTGCCATTGTTCTCAAGACACGCAACTCACGGTACCGTACCTGTACGTGCAAACCTCCCCACACAGTCCGCACGGGGGGCGGGGGGGGGTGGGGGCACAGTTTTGATGAGGCTGTTCACTGACGTCCGGCCGCATCAACCGTTGCTTAAATTAGCAGCAGCTCCGCTGCGTTGGCAACGAAATATGCACCGGAGCAACGGGGCCGCGGGAGGTTAAGCGTTTCAGGGCGTTTGTCCCCTGAGAAAGGAGGGTGCAGGCAACGGTAAAACGCTGTCGAAAACTGAGATTGGGAAAACCTCCTGCTGCGACGCTCATCCGTTAACGCCCGGCGTTCAAGACGAGGCAAAGGTGTAGCCCCGCAGTCACTTGCTCGCGCCACTGCTGGCGGTAGGTACCTAGAGCAGGGCCGGCCAACCCTGCATAAGACCAAGAGCCAAACAGTAACCGAGAGTCCTGCAAAGACATTCATTTTTCTTTGCTACTGTGATAGCACGTTCTACGTTATGCCCCTTGATAGAGCCCGTACGTGGTGGATTAAAGAGCCAGCATGCGCCTGGTGGCAATCGGTGCTTCGGAGGGTATTTGGCCTACTCTTCTACGCTGAAAGTAAATTAAAGGGATTAAAAAAAAAGTTGGCCATAGTTTAAATTGCCGCACGGGGAGCTCAAGCCTGCAACCTCTGGATTGCACGTCCAGTGCGCTGGCCATCACACCACAGCAGCATCCTCATATGAAGGTGCAGCCACAAGTGTAACATTGTTTAGGTCTATGAAACTGACAAACAAATTCAGATATGGTGGGTAAAAATTAGGCCAGTATGAATGCACAGATGTATTAATCGGTTAAAATTGATTTTTACAATCATGATGCATGAACAGGTTTCCCTCTCTTTACAAGCATTCGGCTTATGCGATGTCGCATATACGCAAGCTAACCAGCCTATATCTACCCAAAATTCTCTTCACGCTGTTTGAATTCGCCCTACACGCGGCTATGTGGTCAGACGTGGGGTACTGTGGGTACTGTGGGTGTACTGTGTGGATTGCACGCGCTACTCGCCAGGCAGCTGTCTCATGCGGTTACGCTTTGTGTTCCATTTTTTTGGAACGCATCTACTACCGTGCAAATCGAGGTACACCTATTTACAATTAGGTGCTTGAGATTCCATTAATATCAGGAAAGCATAAGACATTTAAAATTGTGCATTTATACAACTGATGCGTTGAACAAAACCGTGCCGACGAAAGTAAAACAACAATGCGGGTGAGACGGTAGAAACGTGACGAAATAGAATCATCGTGACCCCCAAATCGTCACAATTCATCTCATCGCCGGGAGGGGTCGGGGATTGCAGTGGGGGGGGGGGGGCAGGTGGTGGCGGAGGTGTGGGGGGGGTGAATCTTTGCAGGGTAAAAAAAACAAAGTCTCGTGTAACGCACAAAACGTAAAACATGCCGTTGAGGATGTGCCTCTTGACAGCGACACAGATAAAACACTGCTGGCATTTCAGTTGGACATGAAAAGCTAAAGACAGCATAAAAAGGACCTGCTGGGTACACCGGGCGTACGTGACGGAGGGTTCAGATATACAGTGTATACGTAAACCGCTCAAGCAAGCACGCTGGGTAGCAGGCCGACGTCGGCATTTGCAGAATGTTCTGAATGTAAATTTGCTTTCATAGATCAATGTCATGGTCATTTGAAGGTGTTCGCATAACCTGCACCAAAAATTTCAATGTTTTCCTCTCGCCACTGCCGTTGTTATCAATGCGGTTCACCTGTTGATAGGTCTGAGGTGCTTATCGAAAACTGAAACAAGTTTAAGTGGTTTTAATGTTCCAATCAGCATGGATATTGTTGCTCATCTCCTGTTGACAGCTCAGGGGCAATGGCGGGAATTCCACTTTCCTGTAGCAGGAGAAACTATACATGGTACAAACATTGCTGACTACCCACAACGTAGTTACAGTTGGTTCTCCTTTAATGCAGTAGTCGCGTTCCTGAAGAACACTGCGTTATAGAGAAATCGCGTTATGATAAATAATATATAATGTAGGGTAAAGCACAGTCTGCGATAACACGTAGGATGCATACGCAGGCTCAACAAATTCGAACGCGTGGGGGTAGCATATATAAAGCATCCAGCAGCATCCCGCCTTGAGTGACGCTCTACCGAGGCAGCCGTAGAACTGCTTATTCCTACACGTGCGACTCAACTCTGTTCAATCAATCGGGTTATATCCAATTCGCGTCATGAAAACACGCGTTATAGCAGGAGCGAAGGACTGCGTTGTTCCCGAACCAGAATATGAACGCGCCACTGCGCCACCCAATTGTATTACAGATAACTGGCCCTATCTGATTCAACCTACATTAAAAAAAACATTTCTACAACTAAGGCTAAATATCTACCATGCCTAAAATGTGAAGAGAAATAAAGTAATATAGCAACAGCAAAAAACATTAAAACCTAGTTTCTATGAGACACATGACTCAAATTGACATCTCAACAGCGCATTTTTCTGTAAAAGTTCGACTCAGATTTTTGGCGAAAAAAAAACCTTGCCCAACTCACGCGGTAACCCGCGTAACTGAAAACCGAAATCCACTTTTTTTTGGCATCTCAAGCTGTGTTCTACTCAAGTTCTGCGAGAAATGAGTCCAATCAAACCAGCTCAAATTGGTATCAGTTGTTCTATGGAAATCTGTCATTAAAAATTATTCAAGGAGTTTCAAACACTTTTATGTCCAGGAGGTTGCTGTTCAAGATGCTTGTTTCAATTTCTGTTCTTAGTACTTTATGACATGGGCAGAAAATGAGCCCTCAGAGAAAACCCTTACAAACAAGAGAACATCACTCAAACTGTGGACAGCCATACTCAGTAACGTGCTTGCTTGTACTGCCTCCTGTCGTCAACATGTTCACCCTGCAGTTGTTTCCGGCGTGTTCATGTAAGCATATATGTTGAACTTCTTTCGCACCGTACGTAGCCAACCGTTCTAATCGGAGGTGCGATCAACGTTTTGCCAGGACTCACCTTTGAACCTCGGTGACGATGGCGTCTTCGTAGTTGGCGGACGCGTTGAGCAGGCCACTCCAGGCTTCACGGAGTTCGTCGGGCCGGCAGGCCTCATGCCCGTCATTGCTGAGCTGCGGCCGCAAAGTGGCCGGCAGATATCCAGCAGTCCACGTTTCCACACGAAACCAAACACAACGTGGGTATTGAGAAACACTGCACGGCGTGCTTATACCTTATAATATGGAAAATATGGCATAAAAAGGTAAAGGCGCGGCCCCTGAAATTGCTTGCGCATGTCACTGCTGGCGGAAGGGCATCTGACAGAAGGAGCCACTCTTGAGAGTATTTTGCCTACTCTTCCACGTTAGCCACAGATCTTAAAAGAGGTGGAATTAAATTTGGATTTAAAGCTTTCGTGACTGCAGTGATTCATATTCCTGGTTCTTTCGGTAAAGTCACGTTGAAGGGAAACAATAAAATAATAAAATATTTTACCGAAAGAACCAAGAATATGAGGTGGAATTACTTGATTGCACTTTACCCCACCACACACAACTTGCCAATGAACTAACTGTGGCTAACCCATTTGTACAGCTGGGTGGGCAGAGGTGGGGAGAGTTAAAAAGATTGCCCATTGTTTAAACTACCCTGTCGAGAGATCAAACCGACAATCTCTGCAAGTCCAGTGTGCTAACCATTATACCATGGCAGCATTCTAAATATGATATTAAGGTACAACATATTACTGTAACCTTCTTTAAGTCTATGTAATGTCTGATGCAAACAGATTTCGTGGGGTAAAAAAATGGGCATGTAACAATGCGTACATTTATTAATTAAAATGCTTTATTGCACTCATGATGCTACATGCATCGACTCATCTGTGTGAGAATCAAATGTTTATGTTTTTATCAAATGGCATTTTAGTGTCACATTCAGCAAGGCTAATTGGGTGAACAAACCTTATAAAAACAACAAACAATCCATGAGGAACATTCTAAACGAGTTACATTTGTTTAACCAAGTGAGGACTCAAGAGACCAGCGACGCCTCGTTTTCAATAATGACCTGGGACATTCGTCTGCCAGTAGCGGGGCGATGATTTCTACGAAAAAAATACAAATTGAGAATACTCTTTGGTTCTTTCGGTAAAGTCACGTAGGTAAAAAAGAAAATAAAGTTAATCAAATCACGACGTTTCGGAAGCAACACAAGCCTCCGTCATCAGGTGGGATAGTCACAGCAAGAAGTAATTTGCTGTAGTTCACTACAGCAAATTGATGACGGAGGCTTGTGTTGATTCCGAAACGTCGTGATTTTATTAACTTTATTATTATTTTTTACCCACGTGACTTTACCGAAAGAACCAAAGAGTATGGATCATTGCAGTCACGAAAACTGCAAATCTAGAACAAATTGAGTAAGTTGCGGGTAACGATAAAATCTGACATGTTTGAACCCTGACACTGTCAGACTATGGCCTCCTCTTGCTAATGACGTCAGGGGATCGTTAACGTCCATTATGCAGCATATTGCTATGGTTATTATCTTGCACCTCCGACTGGCACGGCGCGAAAGAAGTTCAACATACATGCAGATTACACGTGCTGTGATAATCACGGTGGGCGCTGGGCTCAAACCGTTAACCTCTGCAAAACTTGGCGAATGCGCTACTGCTAGGCCATGTCACTGCCCCAAGCGTGTGATGTAAACATGTGATATGAACACGTGATAAACTGTCACTGTTAAGAAAAGCCCAACAAACAAGGGGGAAATTGCATTGTATGTGGAGAGAAGGGCTTTCTGTCTTCATGAATGCCGTGTGGGGGTGGTGGATGCCTCTCTGGTGTGTGGGGGTGGTGGACACCCCTCTGATGTGTGGGGGTGGTGGACATTCCTCTGGTGTGTGGGGGTGGTGGATGCCTCTCTGGTGTGTGGGGGTGGTGGACACCCCTCTGATGTGTGGGGGTGGTGGACACCCTTCTGGTGTGTGGGGGTGGTGGACACCTCTCTGATGTGTGGGGGTGGTGGACGCCCCTCTGGTGTGTGGGGGGTGGTGGACACCCCTCTGGTGTGTGGGGGTGGTGGACACTCCTCTGGTGTGTGGGGGTGGTGGACACTCCTCTGGTGTGTGGGGGTGGTGGACACTCCTCTGGTGTGTGGGTGGTGGACACTCCTCTGGTGTGTGGGGGTGGTGGACACTCCTCTGGTGTGTGGGGGTGGTGGACACTCCTCTGGTGTGTGGGGGTGGTGGACACCCCTCTGGTGTGTGGGGGTGGTGGACACTCCTCTGGTGTGTGGGGGTGGTGGACACCCCTCTGGTGTGTGGGGTGTGGTGGACACCCCTCTGGTGTGTGGGGGTGGTGGACACCTCTCTGGTGTGTGAGGGGTGGTGGACACCTCTCTGGTGTGGGGGTGGTGGACACCCTTCTGGTGTGTGGGGGTGGTGGACACCTCTCTGGTGTGGGGGTGGTGGACACCCGTCTGGTGTGTGGGGGTGGTGGACACCCCTCTGGTGTGTGGGGGTGGTGGACACCTCTCTGGTGTGGGGGTGGTGGACACCCTTCTGGTGTGTGGGGGTGGTGGACACCCCTCTGATGTGTGGGGGTGGTGGACACCCCTCTGGTGTGTGGGGGTGGTGGACACCCCTCTGGTGTGTGGGGTGTGGTGGACACCCCTCTGGTGTGTGGGGTGTGGTGGACACCCCTCTGGTGTGTGGGGGTGGTGGACACCCCTCTGATGTGTGGGGGTGGTGGACACCCCTCTGGTGTGTGGGGGTGGTGGACACCCCTCTGATGTGTGGGGGTGGTGGACACCCCTCTGATGTGTGGGGGGTGGTGGACACCTCTCTGCTGTGTGGGGGTGGTGGACACCTCTCTGGTGTGTGGGGTGTGGTGGACACCTCTCTGGTGTGTGGGGGTGGTGGACACCCCTCTGATGTGTGGGGGGTGGTGGACACCTCTCTGCTGTGTGGGGGTGGTGGACACCTCTCTGGTGTGTGGGGTGTGGTAGACACCTCTCTGGTGTGTGGGGTGTGGTGGACACCCCTCTGGTGTGTGGGGGTGGTGGACACCCCTCTGGTGTGTGGGGGTGGTGGACACCTCTCTGGTGTGGGGGTGGTGGACACCCCTCTGATGTGTGGGGGTGGTGGACACCCCTCTGGTGTGTGGGGTGTGGTGGACATGCCTTAATCTGCTCTTAAGAATTTTTTTAGAGGATCAAATGTGTAGTGTGTCGGTAGTGGGAGTTTACTGCCCAAGGGTAAAAATATATTTTTTATACACGATGGTGTTCTAAATTTATTTAGTGTGATGTAGTTTTCTGGGGAAGGTAGTCACACAGGCAGGCAAATATAATTTTATACATCCGGTGTAAAGTGCAAGTGAACACAATGTACCTCCATCGACTTGTACACCTCCTCCAGCTGCAGCAGTTCGGCTTTCTTCTTTGGAAACTCTGAGTTTTTCATTAGAGCGTGTTCCTTCTGCATCACCTGTGGGCACAACGGGTGGAAATTATTATCCTGCCATTGGCTTTGTAACAATGCAGAGGACATCCTTTCAATTCAGCAATATAAGGTTTGCACCTTAAAATGTTGGTGCTATGAACATCTGGCAGTTCACCAGCGTTGCTTCAAGCAAGCATGACCATGCTTGAGTTGAACCAATGCTGCTGAAATTATTAATTCACTCCCAGAAGCCCACGTGGCCGATAGCTAGCAAGTGTAAAATATCCTTTAAAAAATTTATGTGGAGGGCTAAATATGGGAAGGACGTGTATTGGCTGCTGAATTATTTGGTCACTTGTATTCTCCACAGTGATGCTAATTCTTATTCTGTGTTATGTATTATATCGTTTTGTGTTGAACAAGGAACCGTGTCTAACAGATAGGCAGTTCATCAGCATTGGTTGACGCAAGCCTCACTCTGCTGATGAAACAGTAAATGTCAAAACCGGTTCAGAGTTTTGCTCGCATTGAACCAATGCTGCTGAGATTATGGACTGTTTAAAAACGTTTACATTTGTTTTAACGTGGAGAAACAGAGATGTGAATGAGGTGTATTGTCTCCCTATTTATATGTTCCTTATATTCTCCACAACGACTCTGACGATTATTTTGATGTTGTCATATTTTTCTTCATGCAATCCCGGTGCAGTGGATGAATCTCTATGCTGCTCAACAATGCGAGTGGCACTGCCACTTCAATTCAGTGAAGTTACAGAGATCAGCGGGGGTCCTGACGGGAGTTTGAATATCCAAGCTCAGGATATTCACACGGCTGCCACCACCAGGAAGTCGCACCAGGGCGGCACAGCAGGGTATCGGAGGCTCAGTGGGAGACTTGCGTACTGTTTGTCAATGTTACTATGATAGTCCCCATTTTTGCAAAGTTTAAAGACAAAGAGAAAGATCCCCCCCTCCCCCCACTCCCCTCCCCCCACCCCCCCTCCCCCGTATAGACTGTTGGGGCGAGTGCTGTTAGTGAGCACCTATGAAGGCCACCATGGCACACAAGGGGGTGGGTGGCTAGCACCACGCCCGGCCAACTTTGTTTCCCAAATAGAAATATTTATACATCACACCAGACACTCATCTGAGGCCCAGGACCGGTTCAGATAATTGTCACTGGTGTTGACCATGAGCGGGAATGGAACTTGGGTCACCAGGTTTGTAGCGCAGTGCGCTAACCGCTACACCCCCCCCCACCCCCCGTCTAAACTACCCCCCTCCCCTACAATGACACATTCAGAATCTGAATACTCTTCCCCTTTGGAGGCTAGACACAATTGCACAGGAAAGAAAAGAAGATAACCTCAACTACCCGCGCAATGATTATTTTGACAGAAATAGTCCAGCATCGTTCAATTAAAACATATTGCAGCCGGGCCCCTGCGTCGCTCACCATCAGCTTGTCGATGCTGTACGGGAAGGTTCTGCTTTTCAGGGTGATGGTACGCTCCTCAATCCAGACTCGCAGGGAGGCAGCCAGTCTCCAGAACTCGTCCGCATCCTCATTCGCATCCTCGTCACAGCCCCAACAATCGACAATCAACGGCGGGAACCTTTGGTCGCATCCTTGATAATTAATTCCCTGTTTGTGATAAGGCTCTACTATCTGCTGCTGGAAACACTGCTTCCTTGCTCAGATACCCGTAACCTCTAGTTGATTTGGGGTGCCACGGTGGCGAGATGATAACTGCCTCGCAGTGGGTCCAATGCCGACCCTGACGCCTGCTGTATATTTGGAGTTTGCGTGTCTCTCTCCCCGTGGTCGCAAGGATTTTTTCCTCCGTGTCCTCCAGTTTTTCCTTCCACATTTAGAATCTACATCACGCATTTAGAGTATTTGGCTGCTATACATTTACCATGCGATAAGCCATTTGGTTCAGCTATCAATTGTGGCCAGGTCACTTCTGAAAAAGAGCTATAAAGCTCAGTTGGGGCCTTACATGGTAATAAAAACTTATTTTTAGTTTATTTTTTTTTAATACTGCTCTCTGTGTGAAATAAAGACACCAGATTCGAGTCACAGTTAAACTGCCAATATTCAGACAGCCAATGACGTAACGCAGTACGAATGACGCCATCAGGAATTGAACTCACAACCTTATGGCTGCGAGCCGTACACGATACGTGTACGGAATTCGAATGATTTCTTAAAAACCATTCACGAAATAAATCGAACCCTCGTGGTGCGAGGAGTGAAAAATATCCGTGCACAGGTACCAGGGCGACACGGCTCTGCCCGTCTTGCTTGTGAAGGGCATTGTGCAGCGCGGACACATATGTGATGATGGATTTCTCATCAGGGGCGTCCACGTCCACATCTGCACGCAGACAAAATGGGGCATGCGGTTGTATTGCGCATGCGTTGCCATTGAAAGGAAGGCACAACCCAGAGCATATACAGTGAGGGAAAAAAGTATTTGATCCCCTGCTGATTTTGTACGTTTGCCCACTGACAAAGAAATGAGCAGTCTATAATTTTAATGGTAGGTTTATTTGAACAGTGAGAGACAGAATAACAACAACAAAATCCAGAAAATCGCATGTCAAAAATTTTATAAATTGATTTGCATTTTAATGAGGGAAATAAGTATTTGACCCCCTCTCAATCAGAAAGATTTCTGGCTCCCAAGTGTCTTTTATACAGGTAACGAGCTGAGATTAGGAGCACACTCTTAAAGGGAGTGCTCCTAATCTCAGCTTGTTACCTGTATAAAAGACACGTGTCCACAGAAACAATCTATCAGATTCCAAACTCTCCACCATGGCCAAGACCAAAGAGCTCTCCAAGGATGTCAGGTACAAGTTGTAGACCTACACAAGGCTGGAATGGGCTACAAGACCATTGCCAAGCAGCTTGGTGAGAAGGTGACAAAAGTTGGTGCGATTATTCGCAAATGGAAGAAACACAAAAGAACTGTCAATCTCCCTCGGCCTGGGGCTCCATGCAAGATCTTACCTCGTGGAGTTGCAATGATCATGAGAACGGTGAGGAATCAGCCCAGAACTACACGGGAGGATCTTGTCAATGATCTCAAGGCAGCTGGGACCATAGTCACCAAGAAAACAATTGGTAACACACTACGCCGTGAAGGACTGAAATCCTGCAACGCCCGCAAGGTCCCCCTGCTCAAGAAAGCACATATACATGCCCGTCTGAAGTTTGCCAATGAACATCTGAATGATTCAGAGGATAACTGGGTGAAAGTGTTGTGGTCAGATGAGACCAAAATGGAGCTCTTTGGCATCAACTCAACTCGCCGTGTTTGGAGGAGGAGGAATGCTGCCTATGACCCCAAGAACACCATCCCCACCGTCAAACATGGAGGTGGAAACATTATACTTTGGGGGTGTTTTTCTGCTAAGGGGACAGGACAACTTCACCGCATCAAAGGGACGATGGAGACGGGCCATGTACCGTCAAATCTTGGGTGAGAACCTCCTTCCCTCAGCCAGGGCATTGAAAATGGGTCGTGGATGGGTATTCCAGCATGACAATGACCCAAAACACATGGCCAAGGCAAAAAAGGAGTGGCTCTAGAAGAAGCACATTAAGGAACTGGAGTGGCCTAGCCAGTCTCCAGACCTTAATCCCATAGAAAATCTGTGGAGGGAGCTGAAGGTTCGAGTTGCCAAATGTCAGCCTCGAAACCTTAATGACTTGGAGAAGATCTGCAAAGAGGAGATGGACAAAATCCCTCCTGAGATGTGTGCAAACCTGGTGGCCAACTACAAGAAACGTCTGACCTCTGTGATTGCCAACAAGGGTTTCGCCACCAAGTACTAAGTCATGTTTTGCAGAGGGGTCAAATACTTATTTCCCTCATTAAAATGCAAATCAATTTATAACATATTTGACATGCGTTTTTCTGGATTTTTTTGTTGTTATTCTGTCTCTCACTGTTCAAATAAACCTACCAATAAAATTATAGACTGATCATTTCTTTGTCAGTGGGCAAACGTACAAAATCATCAGGTGATCAAATACTTTTTCCCTCACTGTATATATAAGATGAAATAAATATATATGTATATATCATATATATATTTCTTCTCCAGATGTTGTGTCCCACGCTGTCCTACACATGGACTAAGATTGTTTTTTAAGCAGATGGACTTTAAAGTTGCAGTCAAGCATTTCATTAATGCACTATAGTGACATCACTGCGACATCAACAGAATTTAAGAATGTGAGTGATGCCACATATGTTAAAACGGGGCAGTAATAATTGCCACTCACACAAAACAAAAATATTTAAAAACACATGTTCAATGTGACATCAGTTTAACATGTCTGACGTTACTACCGTATTACACAAGACAATACCAACGCAGTGAGGCCACAAACGTGCAATGCCGAACACAGTGATGCCATTCAAGGCGTGGCTTGGCCACGTTTTTTTTTTAATTTCTGTCAACGTTTGTTTTCTAATTATGTACAAGCACCAGGCCAGGCTGTGCCACCCCGAAACCGCTCAATCAGACGAGAGCCGCTCGTTCTGCGGCCTCAGAGGCATTCTCGTCGGCGTACGGCCTCCGACCACGTCGCCGCACAAACCTTCCGGGTCGAGCAGCCGCGGCACGCCGAGCTCCGACTCCGCGAGCGAGAGGGCCTCCTCCAGGTTTTGCCGTGCGCCCCGGCGCCGAACCTCCTCCAGGTCCACGAGGCCCGGCCTGCGTGGACAATCACGGCGGGCGCGACGTTTAAGCCGGTGACACGATACGGGAGGGGTGGGGGGGGTGGGGGGTCCAAACGAATACAGCGCGTTCTCCTATAACGCGTGTGTTTCATAGTGCGAATTGGATGTAATGCGAGTGAGTGAACAGAACTACAAATGGCATATCAACACCGTGCCATGGAATGGAAATCTCGCAGAGCGATGCATGACCCCCATTAGAGAATGGTGCGCTGAAGCGGATATCGCAGAACTGGTTAAGATATCCCTTCACATGAGAGGCCGCACACTCTCCCACACACCCCGCTACACAAAGAATGAGTTTGCCACGTGACGAACTGATACCCTGGTTGGAATTTAGTAACAATGAAGTAAAAACAGACATATTAGGTGATGTTGTTTTGTTCTCCACTCATCACCGACTGGGCCGACACCATAAACTCACCACACCTATGAGGATGAAATCCGGACTGAGGCCCACGATCTCAATGGTTGCCGACTCAGTGATCTGCATCCTGAGTCATCAAGACACTTCAAAATGGTTCTTCTTTTGATGAAAAAAATAACAACCTTTACAAGGTGGCCCAAATCTACTACCTATAGTTCCTACAGCAACAATACGTGTGTGTGTGTGTGTTGTTCAAATTAGTTTGCCAGCAAAAGAGTCACGGTGAGGTCAAGTCTGGGTATCCACCCCACCTTTTCACAACCATTTAATGTGGTATTTCCATCTCTACTCAGAGAGCTCAGAGGCTTATTGCGGTCTCCCTGGCCTGTCAACATACGCGTGTACTATTTCAGTAGGTGGGGCGTGACTTATTGTCATTAGAAAATTTTACAACCGTGAGACAGACATGAAATATGCTAGTTATGTACACACAATGAATGGAAGAGCCCCAAGGTGGTTTAAATATAGCATGCACGGTCATTCTATCGAAGGAAAACAGACTGCAACGTACGTGAGCACATTCCGTACATGTCCGTATCGCGTTAATTAGAACAAAATGAGGCAAATTGATAGGCGAAAAAAACTATTTTATAAACAAGCGAAAACAGAAGGCGCATGCCATAATCAAGTGATAAAAGAGGAGAATTAAAGGTGAGCGCTTGCAAATGGTGAAGGTATGTGTTTAGAAGACTTCATTCTACCAACGATTTGGCTTGGCACCTTTGCTTTGGGCAGAACCACCGTATAAAGTTTAATCGCTGCGCTGACATCGTTATTTTGGAGCACATAAATGGATTTTTTTTTCTCCCTCCGGGAAGACACACCTCACTTACTTAAATGTGAAGGTCGTTGGGCACGCGGCATTCAATCGCTCATGAAAAAACGCAATGTGTACTTCAACGCGGTCCTATGAACTTTAAAAATATATATCTATGAGACAGCACTGGCACGAATAAACCGCCGGCAACCCCATTTTAATTGGCAAAGGGTGTGATCATACATGTCACGGATCACATATCTGCAATTGACTTCACTTTGCCACCCCTCACTCACTGGCTGCTGTCAACACTCAAGGGATAAATACACACGGGCCCGTCTGCAGGAAAGGGGAGAAACGGCATCTTCACAGATCTCGGTTAAAGTACGTGTGCGTTTTATGTGCGTCAGTCCGTATATTTACTCTGATATATTACCTCTCTAAACATCAAGCCCTCCGATGTGTCGTCAGGTTGCGTATATCGCTACCAAGTGCTGGGAGCTTTTTCACTTGCTCAGCACGTGAAGAGAAAATGTCGAATATGCATGTATGCTGAACTTTCTTTCGCGTACGTAGCCAACCGTGCTAATCGGAGGTGCGGGATATGCGGCCGAACACGCGGTACAGCCTAAAAATACGTGACACAGCACAATCGCAAACACGTGCACATATGTAGAAGCGTTTACTTATATCCCTGTTTATTTATTCATCTATCTACATTTGCCGCTATCAAGCGATATGAACAAAAGCTCAGGATACACATTTAAAAGCTATGAAACTAAATCACGAAATGTTCTTAAGCTCAATGACGTGTGATGGACAGAGATGGCATGGAAGTAGATATTCTCTGCTGTAAAAGCCTGTCCCCCAAACTATTGGGTGGCCCAAAAGTCAGGACACATAGGGTGATTTGATTTATTTTAACACTGGCATTTAAACATTTGAATGTTTCAATCTTTAACTTGATATTTTATCTATAATTATCATGATTATCTATTTTTCTTCTTCTTGTGGGGTCACCTCAAATCCGTCGTTTGCTAAACTTGACCAAAAACCCTGAATTAATTCAAATTAAACACAATTAATAAATGCTCAAAGATTACACCTGTAATATTTTAAAAAGTCCTAAATCCATGTAAAAAAAGAATTCGTGCATGTATTCATGTTAATGAAAGTCAACATTTGTTGGAATAAATCAAATAACCCTTTGTGATTTGTTGAAATAAATGTCATGACTTTTGGGCCACCCTGTATAATTCACAATCTGCTGCGTTACATGTATGTTTGTTGAATTTCTTTCGCACCGTATGTAGCCAACCATGCTAATCGGAGGGGCCACTGCTGACAGCATGAGTATACAGGGAAATCCATGTATAGATACCCCACTAACATAATTAGAATACATTACAGGGAAAACTACATTTGAATTCAAAGGCTCTAATAGAATCCCTGCCAAACTCTATACACGCATCATATGTTATAACAGTCTCGTGATACACTTTGTCCAACAAAGCCAACCCTGTAATACTATTCAAAGACCCGTTTAAAAGAAAGTAAGAGGGCATTTCGAAATCAGTGAGGTATCCGTAGATGAATCACCCTGTGTATGTATTATACTTATGGTTTCAATGCAGTGCTTGTTATGCAGTGTTTGTTACGATGGTCTTGGGCATCCCCTAGGTCGACTCAGCTTAAAATGAGTGCCGGCCCTTCATAGGTGCTGCTCGCTAACAGCACTTGCCCCGACAGTCGTTGAAGGCTATACGGGGGGTCTTCGTTATGATGGCAGCAGACATGTATGACACAGTTGCGGGGTTTTTCAACGGTTCTATTTAACTTCACTTGTGGTGTTTGTCGTGGTCAAATATTGTAACCAAAAGTTAGTCTACTTCCTGTTGTCTAATCAATTCCTAATTTTTGCACACCTACTCAGATCCGGTGACAATGCATGCCTGTATGAAAATCGGCATCAATTTATCAATTAATTGCCTCCTTTTAAGCAATTACAATTTTTTTATGGACGGCTTATTAATTATATATTTTGTGTAGGTCAAAAACGCCACGGTCCCTAAACTGTGGAATCGGCTCGCACACAACGCAGGCGCCGCGTGTCTCAGGCGCCATTGACGTACTTCTCAAAGACCGTGAGTTAAACCAAGTTATAGTAATAGGTTTTTACCCTTTTATCTGGCACCAAAACTGACACCTTTATACAAGGGATCATGTTTGCAATAACCACAACACAAGCAGTCAAAATGCAAACAAAAAGAGACAACTCTGATAATGGTATGCACCGTCCTTGAAATTGATTGGTCCACACCCGAGACGGCTTTTCTTAGAGCCTAGTCTCCACTGGTGTTGGACCAGATGATGCCAAAAGGCATATCATTATCAGAATTGTCTCTTTTTGTTTGCATTTTGACTGCTTGTGTTGTGGTTATTGCAAACATGATCCCTTGTATACAGGTGTGAGTTTTGGTGCCAGATAAAAGGGTAAAAACCTATTACTATATCTTGCTACTGGCAAAGGAGGTCTCATAGTGTAAATGCTTAAACCAAGTTGTTAATAAAACCGTTGTTTTAAAAAAAAAAACGTTTTTTAAAGGAGTTTATTATTTTTTGTTTGGACTTTTGTGCGTCCCAACACTGCCCCCACTGAGAGAAATGAGTACAACGCCTCAAAATGCACTCAAGGATTTGGGAGTACAGCAAATGTTTCTTCTCGTGCCGTTGTTAATGTGGGGAGGGTGTGGGGAGCCACTACTGGCAGATAATATTATTTGTGTCTCTCCACACAAAAAAATACCTCCTCTGACCTACACCGTCACCGGGGAATAAATGTGAATGGGACGAACATACCGCCACTTCCAGGCGGACATGGGGTCAATTATAATCACGATAAAAAAAGAATACTGCTTGCTGAGACGGCAAATACAATTGGATTGCAATTTGTTTTGAATAACACCATCGCAATGAAATGGATTCCAGGTTTTCTTCTGCGTAACTCATTTATCTGTGAGGTCACGCAGGCAGGAGGATGAATTTATCACCCACTACAACTTAAGTGAGGTGGAAAACACAATCAGAAGACATTGTCACGTGAATCCTCTCATCTGCAACGAAACACAGATGATAGGAATTTATTTCCGATCGATTAAGGGCCACATAATAAATGGGTGCAGGCCTGCAATTAGTTACTTATGCCACTGCTGGTGCAAACACCTCCCAATAGAAGGAGCTTGAGCGAGCAACTATGCATGTGTTTGGCCTACTCTTACACACTTGCCATGGTAGTTGGAGACACCGTGGTGGTGATGTTAGCTACCTCGCCTGGTATGCATAAGGTCGTGGGTTCAATCCTGACCCTGATGCCTGTATATTTGAAGTTTGCATGTTCTCCCCGTGGTCACGTGGATTTTTCTCCGGGTCCTCCGGTTTTCCCTTAACATTTATGAAAACATGCGTTTCGAGGAATTTGGCTGCTATGAATTTCCATACGATAAACCACTTCATCCGGCTACTGGGCTCTCCAGTGTGCGACTGTGGTCATCCAGAACAGACCATACAAAGTATAACGATGCAATGCCCACAAACACGAAGGAGACATCACAGCGATACACTCCGCTGCTCCTGACGCGGTTGTCTGGCTTGACCACTTTAAATGTGAAATTGTGGCTGTTGCTCTGCAGCTACATCAGCCATACGAAAGAAGGCAATTGGCCTTTCATTTGTGGCTACGCCGCCGCTGAAAAAAATTCTAAGCAGTATAGCTCAGTGGGCCTTACCTGGTAAAATACAAAAATTGTTTAGAAGTTGCAGATAATGGCAGCGGCGGATAAAGAGTAGGTTTCGCCCACGCCGGGATGTCGTCAAGAGTCCCGCGAGGGGTCAGACCTGTGCGCGTGGACGATGGCGCAGAGCAGCCGCCCATCCCTCCAGCTGCTCGAGAAGTTGTGGCACGAAAGCCCGGGGACATCCTTTGCGACCAGCCGCGCCCAAGCCAGTAGCCGCTCCCTGCCTGGCGTGCCGCCGCCCACCTGCCCCGCCGACACCTGCCCTCGAGACAAACAGGGAGGGCCACTCGTCCTCGTTAGAATCAGAATATTTATTTATACTGGAGGAATCCGATGAGCTACGAAGCTCTTTTTCGACAGATGTCCAGTAGGGGCGGGTCAGAATGTAACAACAGCGAACATATACAAAGACACGATAGGAGTCCAAAGTATAGGAAGGGTAAACGATTCACTTAAAAATCAGCAAATAAAACTAAATAATGTTTTATCTTACCAGGTAAAGCCCACCGAGGTATTAACCAATTTTTCAGAAGCGACCTGGCCACAAATGACAGCTCAACGAAGTGGCTTATGATCGTGTGCAAATTTAAAGAGCACGACCCATCACCGGGCTCTTTTAATCGTACCGCAAAAAGCCCAGATCCGATGTCAGCAAACACGAGGTGCAGTCGATGGCGAATGAGACTATCAATTGCCGTGTGTTTTCATTGCATTCTAAAAAAGGGGCCCTGCCATTTAATTTCACCGCAGGTAAATGACCTCAACGCATTCCATGCCTTGGCTGCCATTCTTGTTCATCGACCATCATCCCTTCTAGCGACGAGGTCCTGCCCAAGCCCACAGTTTTTCCTCGCAGTTTGAACGATGTCTCTAAACCTTGCGCATGCATTAAGCTGAAGAAACAACCCGGCTTATTGAAAATTAAAATATGAAATGGAAGAATTATATATCTTTATCGGCTGCTAGTGGCATCGTGTCTACTCGGATCTGTGCATTTTTTGCAGTGACTGTCTATGATTGGATTAGCATCCATCATGTGTAGTTTATTTAAAATTAAAATCCCATTTACTGCATCCGAAATTCAATTATTTGTTGAAATATAAAGAACATATTTGCATGTGTGTATCTATTTTGCAAGTAGGATATGGCTCTTAAGGAAGAATGTATGTATATGCATCTGTCTTGTCAATTTTACAAACGCGTGTTAATTGAATAAGCAGCACTTACTCGAATGATAGAGTGAATTTAAATCACAAAAAATGGCCACATTGTTAAGTCATCAGGTCAAAGTCTAACGTACGGTTTAAGTACACACAATTAACTAAAACATGTCAAAATAAATCTGAAACAAACACACATTTATTTGAATTCGTTCCGAAATAAAATTTGTATTAATTTTAGCATGTGTTAATTAAAGTATAAATGTGTTCATTAACGTATATTAATAATTATCAAGATTATTCTACAATCAACTTGAATAAAAAAGGAATGTGTTTACATTGTGCTGGCATGCCATTGAGTCATCATCAGTGTTATATTTAGAATTTAAAAAAGTAATTTGCAAACGTGGAAGAGCCTGAATGAGTTAAAATTCAACACGTCTTACTTCTGTTGAGGGACAACTGTGTAAATGAGGCGTATTGTCTGCATATTTAATTACTTATTTTCTCCGCAACAGTCCTAACGATAATTTTACATAACGTATTACGTATATAATGTTGCGTCAAACTAGGACCCATATCAAAGAGAGAGGGTTTTTTGGCTGTAGACATCTGGCAGTTCACCGGCATTGCTTCAAGCAAGTCTGACTGCGAATGAGACACTGAACTTCAAAACCGGTCCAGAGTTTTGCTTGAGTTGAATCATTGGATAAATCAAGCCTGGCTCTGCTGATGAAACACTGAATGTCAAATCCGGTCCAGAGTTTTGCTTGAGCTAAACCAATGCTGCTGAAATGTTGCACTCCCAGAAGGTCCAGAGGCTGATGGGATGTGTAAAAAAAGACGTTACTGTTTTATGTGATGGGAGAGATATGTTACATTGGAATACTGTCCGCCTTTTTTTTGCAGTAAAACAAATATGTAACCATTTGCATTTAACTACAAGGAAAACGAATGATATATGTTACTGGTTCCTAAAATACCTTTTAAATCGGCAATTTATCACACATTAAAACCTGACTTAAAGCTTTCGTGACTGCAGGAATTCATATTCTTTGGGTCTTTCGGTAAAATCACGCAGATAGGTTTAAATTAATAAATTAATGTTCATTTTATAGTTATTGCACATTCTCTTTTTTGTTTTCTCAACACACCCTTACAAGTTAAACAAGTTTAAGGTAGGTGCATATACCAGTGACCTTTATTGCTGTGGTAATTTAAAGGTGCATTCGCCTTGTGAATAGAATGAGGCTGCAGTGGTGTTTAAATAAAGGCTCAGTGGTAAGACAGGTTTTAGACTTGGCCAACAATAAATACACTCGTCTATGGTCTCAGCAAAGTTTGCATTTTCCTGCACTGTGTTTGGTTCATCTGAACGGTGTTTATAAACATATCAGCTTTCAACGTGAGCAACATTTAACTTTCAAACCGATATTTGTATTGGCAGCGAATTATTGATTAAAATGCAAATTATAAAACGATAAGTCAAACGGCGCAGTGTTTTCTGTTAAAGATCACTCGATCTGTCCCCATACCACACCTTATGTAAATGGTGACATTTAACATATGACTGGCCAAACTGTGCTGACCTGCTCTTTTGCCAACATCTTCACTCACTGCTCACCACCCCCTTGAAGCACAACCCATGGCCTCCCTTCACCCCAGACATCTCTCCCCTTGACCTGTCAATGTTTGTCATTTCAGACAAGTGTACAACTGAACAGGCGTATGTTGTCAGCTCAGGAGCAGTGAACCCCATTGAGGTTTACGTAATGGGCCTCATCATCAGCCATGTCCGATCCACTGCTGCACGAAGGCTTTCCCAAACCGTCACCATATTTCACACAGGATTGCCATGCCACAACCCATCACAGTAACCTGCACACGAGCTGCCAATATTTAAATGTATGGAGTTCTCTTCTTTACTGTGTCTTATACGTACAAGTTTCCCTCGCTTTATGCAGGTTCGGTTTGTGCGGTTTCGCGTAAATGTGGCTAACCTATTTATACCCAAACTGCGCAATATGCGGGTTGAATTCACTCATATGCGCCTATGCTGTCGGACGTGGGACTCTGTGTACCGTATGCGCTATTCGCCAGGCAGCTGTCCCATGCGGTTTCGCTTTTTGTGCCCCTTTTTTGGAATGCAGCTACCGCATACAACGAGAATAACCTGTATGTATGTCGAACTGTGAGGCAACCATGCTAATCAGAGGTGCAGGAACGGGACAACAAAACTATGCACAAGTAACAGTCCTTTATAAATGAGTTTGCAATCTAGATGTAAAAGCACAGTTCCAGTGGGCTTCTAATGTCAGAAGAATGAGTCTTCTTCAAATAATGCTCCCCATTCTGTATCCGATTCACCGGCAAGGTCTGTGTGTGTGTGTGTAACGTAGTAATGTTGCAATCCAGAAAGTCTGTGTGTGCTTGCCCAGTGAATTCCTATCATCCCCTGCTCCTTCACCTACCTAGCCAATGCCATGGCTGGTAGATCCAGAGCTGCTTGAGACTGGGGGCTTTGGTTTTAAGTGCGTCGGTCATGGGCATTTTCGAACCATACTTCACCATGCTGGTCAATGTAGGGTGGTGAAGGGAACACATTTTGTCTCACCTCTCACTGAGAACTGTGGTGCCACTGATGTGGGTTATCCTCCACGGTACAGCTCCTTAGGTTTTTCAAGGTTCTTCATTTGTGTCGCCACGTTAAGGCAATGCCCCAATTTAAAAAAAGTAGGGAGGCTTTAATGACGTATGTAAATTACGGTATAAGGTCGCCTACCCGACTCCCCGGGGACTGAGATACAGGTGGGCATGTGAAAAATGGGAAATGTGAACATCTAGAGAAATTGGCAGCAGCACGTGCACACACAGGCTACCGGACAAAATCACAGGTCACACCGCCTGAGCACGGGAACATCATCATCATTATTATTATCACTATTCGCCGTGCAATAGAAGTGAAGCGTACACGAGGTTAAGATTGCGTTCCTGTCTGTGAGGTCGGATTTGCGAACGCCTGTTTAATAATATTAGTTACACCATCATGCGCAAATAGTTCACTGGGTGTGGACGCTCAATTGATCAGGGCAGATGTGGTGACGTCAGATATGTGACATTGTACTGTGCGTATATAATTCATAGAAAATATGATAAAATGGTCTTATCTCTCGAAAAGGAGACGGTAAAATTGTACCCTCTGCGTTGGTGCATGGCTGTTGGTGACGTTCGAGTGCCCTCACGCCCGTCTTTCGTTTTTTACTCAATTTGCATGCTACTGTAAACTAAACTAAACATTTTTTTATTTTACCAGGTAAGGCCCCCTGAGCTATGTAGCTCTTTTTCAGAAGCGACCTGGCCACAAATGACAGCTCAATGAAGTGGCTAATCACGTGGACATTTATAGCAGCTAAATACTGTAATCGCATGTTTCTAAATGTGGAGGACCTGGACAAAAATCCACGCGACCACGGTGAGAACATGTAAACTCCAAATTTACAGGCGGCAAGGATGGTATCGAACCCACGACCCTCCTGCAAACCAGGTGAGGGAGTTCACATCTCGCCACAGGGTAGACAGCTTGTACCCAGTAAACATGGCAACGTTGAGTCAACATTCGGCCAACCTTGGCATGTGGTTTGATATGTACGGTGCGAAAGAAGTTCTACATATATACATACGTGGTTGGAAATATTGTCCCATCGTTGGACCCAGCGTTCCATGTTTACGTTTTACTGGGCGGTACATGGCCGAATTAAAAGTTGAATGCACTCCCAGCAAAAAGTTAAATGAACCTCTAATTACAGATTAGGCTGCCTTTGTCATTATTGTCACTTTCCAACAGTAGTTTATCCTACTGTTGGAAAGTGACAACATACATCGACCCCGCTTTGGACAACACTACAAGGAAAACGTTATTTTTAAATGTTGTCAAACGCATGCCGTACGGTGTGATGGATTTACATTAAATATTAATATGCCGAGCGTCGTTTTACCCGTCTTCTTCAATACAACAACTGTCCGGAAAACAGGTTCGAAAAAAGGCATTTTTGTGGGCAACTATTTTTAGTAAGGAGGCTAAGCACCGTGACTACGAAATGGGTGTCGGTGCATTCTTTCAATATGTTGAGTCATCTAAGCAATTCCCCCAGCTTAATACACACTGCATTTAGCACAGCTGGCAAAAACAATGTTCCAAACATATTTACACACACACACACAAACCACACTAAATAAACAGACAGTACCGCAGTTAAAAATACGCAATAAGGAGTACCATTTCACGCGATGAATCTCTGGCTTCAAGAGCAGGGGTAGCGCTCTCCATTTCGACTTCAAAAGGACCGGCGTTGTCTTGAGCGGCTAAATCTTCCTTCAACCATCCATCAGCATTCCCAGTTGCATGTCCCTCATTCGGCGTGGCCGCCCGCTTTACAAGCGCATTTGATTCACCCAACAATTCTCCGTCGTGGACTTTCATTGAACGTAATGGAGCCTTGCTTTGCATGGCAAGGCTGAGGCCGCTGAGGTTTGGAGACACATCTTCTTTACCATCAGACCTCTCTTGCTTGCCTTTCGGCTGAGTGACTAACGTGTCACCCTCTGTCGTGGAGTTGGCAGGATGAATATTAACCGGTGGCTCGAGGTCGAAAAATCGGCGTTTTGCAGGGCTCATCTGACTCAGTTTTCTCACGCTCTGCTCAAAATTACCAGAGTCTGGGTCACTCAACGAAGAAACGCTACTCCCATTGAAGTCTGCATTTGACGAGCCGTATCTTTCTGCCACAATTGGAACCACTCCACCAGTGCTTGTGACCCCAGTGGCGCTATGTTTGTCGCTTAACGGCGACTCGTTTCCATCTTCTCCTAAAATCTGCCGCCTCTGCTCTGGATTGGGTCCAGAGGTCGGTGAAGTTGGTGAAGTTTGGAATGCAGACGCCAGGTCCACCTTTCCACGCCTGTTCTTCTGGTCAACAACCGAGTGCAAGCTGATTGCGTGAATCTGACCGGCAATGTGGTCCCCGCTCTTGGCTCTTGGCACCTGTTCCAAGCGTGACATGCTTGCCGACTTGCCGACATCAGCGATCTCCTGAAGCACTATCTCCGTGGTGATCATGGTCTTCTTGGACGTGGAAACCCGTTTGAGTCCCGAGCCTCCGGTAGAAACCAGGCTGACGTCATCCTTGGACAATTCTCCACACTGCGATTGATCCATCTCGGACACTGAATCCTGCATAGAAGACTTTGAGACTTTGTTTTTCGTGCGTTCAATTATGGTCACCTTCACTCCCTCGACCTCAGTCTCCTTGATGACCTCTTTCACTTCTTCCTCCTGCTCTTCACCCTGGTCAGCTTCATCTTGAGCATCCAAAGCCTCTTCCAGCGAACTAATGTTGCTGTGTTTCGATAGCCGGGCCTTGACTCTCCCGTCATCTTGCGCAGACAGTAAATCAAACTCGTTTAGGACAGCAGTGCTGAGTGAAACTTCATCCACTGGTATTGCCGTTTCTTTTGACAGAGCCTCTGGGTCTGATACACATAAGCGCTTCTTCAGCATCGACTTATTTTTCTTCTTGCCCTTGTACGTCTTGTTGACGACCTCCGAGGTGGCTTCAAGCGGAGCCTTTGTTGGATCGAAATCCAGCTCCTGGTTGTCGACACAGCCTAACGAGTTTCCCATCGCAGTCAGCGGGGGGGGGGGTGAAAACTTTTGCTCGTTGAAATCGACGCAAATATATATTTTTTAAAAACACAGCTTACTAAAAACGATAAAGAATACCTATTGGAGCTAATTATACCTTCAGAAGATGCTCGTGTGTATATAAAACACACACGAACGACTTTCAGATACGATCAGGTACCGCGAACACCTGTCCCAGCCGTTCGCTCGCCAACGCGAAACAGACGCGTTTGCAAATCTCTGAGCCGACACTAAGCCGATCCGAGGTGCACTCTACCGATTGGCGGGGCTCGCCCAACGTGCACCGAGGAAGACTCCCGCCCCGTTTCTGCCGCTGGGCATGAGGTCTGAATGGTTGAGATGCCACGGGGCTGCAGCCCCGGCTCGGGGCAGAGCAACAACCATTCATTCTGATTTGTTTTATTTTTTTGCTAGTTTTCCTTTCATTTGATTGGCTTATCGTGTTGATGCGTGTGTGTGTGTGTGTGTGACCGCGTTACGTAAAGTCCCCTCCCAATTCATTGTCACAGAGTGTATTTGGAATCAAGTAGCACATTTTGGCCAAGTGTTGCAGCGCTTGCTGATCAATTGCTTGCATAATTCCTCGTGCTTACGAGTATAATAAGAGCTACGTTAACGAGGTTTTACATACTCAAACAATGTAAGCATTGCCCCATACTACCCTCTGATTGCATTCATGCAACATTAGAAGCTGGATTAGCACAGTGCACCGTGTGCATGTATCACGCCCTTGTTCGTCTTGGAGTTGTTGTTTTTTTTTTTAAATACGCATACGGGTCATTTGAGGTTGAGAAAAAATAACCATTGAGTAAGCGTTTTCTGTAGGGCAAGGCTGGTTCAGAGATCCTTGAAAATCGTCTCCGAACGAACACGTTCCACCTTTACCCGTGACCACACCTGACTTTCGGCTATTGCTAAAACACGGACCAGAGCGCTTGGTTCTTCCCGTATTAGGGTTCAGTCGCAAAAGGCAGGCAATGATGTGTCCCCCCGCTGAGTAGAAAACTGCAAAGAATCAGCACGGAGTAAAGCGGCCTAATCACACTGTTCGGTGATGCCGGATAAGGCAGTGCCAGGCCACGGCTAACACAATTTTACTGTCATCGCACTGAGATGTTAGGGAAGAGTTCTCGTATTCACGCACCTCCGATTAGCACGATGGATAAATACGGTACGAAAGATGTTCGACATACGTACAGGTTTCCCTCGATGTGTGCGAAAGATGCATTCTAAAAAAACGGGCGAGCAGAGTTCAACACACGCAACGCTGCCTTGCTAGATTCCCAGAACGCAAGGCCTTGCCGGTGCTTGAAATATAATAAGTTCAAACATTGATTGGGTGATGGAGCTATCATCCACAGCTTATTTTACACGATAATTAATTCCTTCCTCTTTCTCAGTATAAAATAGGTTACTGTAGAAACGTTAGTATAAGTTTTATATATATACCGTTTTGCATTATTGTTTAACCTGGTTGTAAACAGAACAGAAACATTCCAAGTTGACAATAAATAGAGATATGTTAGATACAGATTGCAGTCTGGTATGAGGCTACTTTCTTTATTTCTTGCATAAATTGTTTGAGTGAACATTGATTACCTTCCATTTGCACACATGCAATTATCCATGTGACCCCTGCAGCCGCTAGAGGTGCTACAATTCTCCACCATGTTAAAAGACGCAGGTTACTTTATTATTAAAATCGAATGGCTTCCCCAAATTGTGAGTGAGATTAATTATTGCCACTCAACTGCCTAATGTGATTGTTGAAGCTAATGTTGGAAGTGCTTTGGTGATAATGATACATTTAAATTATGACAATAAATTAATAATAATCTATGCGTCGGGTTCCCTGGCTGGTTGCTGGCTGGGCTCCTCACCACCCCAATATAACTGTTAATGGCTGTGGGCCATTACCACAGAAGCTAGCTGGGTAACTGGCTAAAACGGCATTTTCCGTGAAACAAATAAACACTGAGTTGAGTTAAAATTGGGAGAAAAGAAGCTCAGAAGACATTTAATTAAAGACAGTGACACCGAAGGAGTGGGAATAACAAACAGAGAAGACTGACATTGTATTCTTGGTTCTTTCGGTAAAGTCACGTAGAAGGGAAACAATACAATTATAAAAAATATAAAACATTAAAATTCTCACAACGTTTCGACTGCAACACAAGCAATCATCATCAGGTGTGTTGCAGTCGAAACGTCGTGAGAATTTTAATGTTTTATATTTTTATTATTTTATTATTTCCCTTCTACGTGACTTTACCGAAAGAACCAAGAATATGAATCCCTTACAGTAACGAAAGCTTTAAATTAAAATTTAAGACTGACACGGTTAATTTGAATTTGCTATATCTTTTCAATTTGTGTTCCTATTAATTAATTTACTTTGCCAGAATATTATTTACATCCTAGAGTGTGAATATATATGGAAACCTGAAATTTCATATTATCTTGGCATTTTATTACGTTAAAAAGGCAGATTATTTGTAGAGTTCAGAGTACAGGATTGTAAGAAGGGTATGAAAATGACAGCTGTCTCTTATTTGCTAATGCAGAGCCACGGGTTCTCAACTAGTAACCATTAAAACAATGTTAAGCCCTTCGCAATCCACTGCTGGATGAAGGCCTTCCCACACACGTGGTCGGCCATGGGGGTTGTTTGGCCATACTTCACCACGCCGGTCAGACAATATGCAAATATGTATACCTCATTCTCCATCATTATTCACGTACCACTGTTTTGTATGGTGTTGAAATGCAGTTGCATGTGGGCGCTCTATAAAATGCTATATAATACTCCACGTAGTATTGCAGTGTCAATATATTATTGAGCTCAACAAATTAGTCGCTGATAATATCTAGTCCTGGAGTCTGTCACAGATTATAAAATTGTTGCACAATACAAGAAAAAAAACATCAATAAAGAAATCACCCTGTCAACATTTCTGGCATATTCCCAGGATGCATTAGTCACACCCCCATTTTTTTTAATTCCTCGTGTCTTCGGGCGCATCAGCATTATCATCTTTAAATTAGTTCAACGGGTTTCATCATATTCAATCATTATAATGACAGCCTCCCCTATAGTTACTAAATCAAGTTTTCTCGTTTTAATAGCTGTTTTTATACAGACTTCATATCGTAAGTCATGCGAGACGGCAGCAGCTTTGGGAGGCCTTCATCCAGCAGTGGATTAACCATGGCTGATGATGATATTTACAAAGACACACAAAGATCCCCCGTATAGGCTGAACAGACTGTTAGGGCAAGTGCTGTTAGTGAGCACCTATGAAGGCCGGCACGGCACACGAGGGGGCGGATGGCCAGCACCACGCCCGGCCGCCTTTGTCTCCCTAGTGGCGATGTTTACACACCTCACCAGGTACTCATTTAAGGCTGAGTCGACTGAGGGGAGGCCCAGGACCGGTTCAGATAATCGTCACTGGTGTTGGGTCGCCAGGTTCATAGCGCAGCACGCTAACCGCTACACTACCGCTCCCCACAGATGATTTACACACACACAAACTTCGGTGTGAAACTAAATTCAACTGTCCGTGTTTTAACACATTTGTGAACATAATCTTCACGGTCGTATGACTGAACACTCTGGAGGTTATTTTACAGGGACACATTCCTCGCTTTATCCAAGAGTCACTCATTTTGAATGCCGGATCTGCCAGAGGCAGGAGACGGTAGAATCCCCTCCCAGTTCTGAGTACATTCCCTCTCGCTTACCAAACCTGTCTAGGCAGCTGCTACCGTCAAAATGGCAAAGAGCAGTTCAGCACAACAAGCGGTGCTGTGTGTTTGTAAATAACAGCATCTAAATGATGGTTACGTACTAAATTGTTTGGAAATCTGCCCGTGGTGTAATCCTGGAATAGCTGGAATTGCAATCCAGAGGCCTCCAGTTTCATCTTGCAGTGTGGCAGTTGAAACAAAGAGCACATTTTCTTAACCCCGTCGCCCCCGCCCGCCCCAGGGCCTGTAGTACACCCAGCAGTACAAATGGGGACACCACAGTTATCCGATTGACAAGTCATATGTTGTGGGGTAAAACGTGGGTACTCCCACCTCTACCAAGACGCCTGACCGGTGTGACTAGAGCAGTGAAAAAATACCCACGAGCCACCAGTGTGGTGTGAGCACTTCATTACTTAATTGTAGGGTGGCACCTTCAGCCTACCTATTAAATGATACGTAGACATAGTGAATTATGGTGCACATATTTTATTTACAGAGGATTGTGGTTGTAATCAAATTAATGATTTAACTAATTTAAGACAGGTTGTGGTTTCATAAGTCTAAAGCAGAGGACCATGAGAACAAAAAAAGTCCTTGCTGATGCAAAGTCCCATGAGTAATCATGCACTTGGATGAGCATGCAGCTGCCACTTAATTACAAGGTGTGGTAATGTAATTACACTACAAAAATTAACCTTTTTACGTGTGTAGTGGCATCGTGGGATGCCTCTGCATGCGGTGTGCGCCGGCCTGTGTGAGGCACGAGATACGGCGTGCACACCACCGTCAGCCCTGCACTGTGGATGCAGTACCGGCCCTAGCGGGGGCCGGCTGAGATCAACTGTCAGGGATGGATGGCACTGCACTCCACGTGCAGTGCCAGCCCCCAGAGGTTAGGGGGCGGTGCGGGGTTCACAAGGGGCCATGGCAGTCTGAGTGAACCCGCGGCACACGTGACTGGAGGTACCGACTGGGGGGGCCCCCAAAGCAGGGGCTGGGGGACCATAGGTCCCATCGAGATCCTTCTGGGAGCTTCCAGAAGGTGGGCGTGGCTAGGGGCGGAACGAGCCCGCCACCGACAATATAAGCCGGAGCCCTGAACGGGGCTGGCTGCTGTTGTATGAATGAAGACACGAAGTCGTCGCCTGGAAGAAAAGCCCCAACTACAAGACCCGGACCCAAGTGGGTCTGGTCTAATATAGCCTCCCCAGTGTGTGTTAGGGTTTGGCTAGCCCGGAGGTTATCTGTGGAAGGGGAGATACCCCCTTTGTGTTTAGAGCTGAATTGTTAAATAAACGTGCTGCCTCCAAAGAAGCCTTTGTCGCCCTTTGTGAACCACTACACATGGAACAGAAAATCTAAATCGTCTAACATATCCTGGAATGGACCACAAGTTCTGCTGATTGATATTTTTTATTAATTAATCAGGAATAGTTTTTATTCACTGGACGTACATTGCATTTATACAATACAGGAAGACATTTAAAATGTACCTGTGACATCTTCTGGTACGTCACCTCTCTCACTTTCTCAGAAATGTGTGGCATGTGGTGGTACTACCTCTGATCGGGTTGGCACACTTAAAAAAACAGTGGACGAGGAAAGACCCCTGACCTGAGGCGGACGTAGCTAAACGGAGAGCGGGTTGTCATGACCGAGAGAGTGCGAGTGTGTGTATCACCTGGTAGTGCAGAATTATGGTCCAGATCAAACCCAGGGTGAGCTTGGGGTTCCCATCCACGATGTCCTCCTTTCTGATGTTCACCAGCTTCACCTGCTCACCGGCGTGCACAGAGGCCTCGTGTTAAAACGACGCTTCAGCAGCAGATCCGGAAAAAGCGCGGGGAAATCCGAAAACACAGTAGATTTTTAATTATTTAGTAATTGCATTCTTGCTGATTTTATTCCAGTTTTGCTATTGGCGCGATATCATGAGAAGCAGAATCCATTCTGAACCCTTGCAGAGCAGTGCGTACCCACATTCGTTAGAGAATTACCCGTGGAAGAGTCTATCACAGAAGTACTTCTGAGATTCACTCAAATTACCTTTTTTATATATGCACACTGGCGGTCGCACTGTCCAACGCACCCTGCTGCAAGGAAACCTGATATTGTTTCTGGTTCTCAGAGCTAGAATTTAGACAAATTACTGTAAGTGGAAATCGAATTCAATTAGTTTTTTTTAATTAGGTGCACTTAGAGAACACCGTTTAATCATGATCTCAAGAGTACCAGCTCAGTGACGCCTGAGCCCTTCCTCTGGACATCCGAATAAAGTTTGTACAATTATGTGGAAGGACAAGTGTATGCAGGCGCACTGTATTCTATTTCATGTGTGACACAATATTTTGTTTTACTCATCTGCATGAAGTTCAGAGTTTGAAATACAAATATTTACGCAAATTCAACACATTACCATATATGGGAGCTTAGAAAATGTATCTGTACGTAAAAATATTTTAGGATCATAAAATAGATTAAATTAACCTGTTTTTAGATAAACTTAAAAAAAAATTTAAAGGACAAATCTACATGCGTTGCTTTCAACTCCTTTAAAAGCTGACAATTGTCAGACCCACGAATGCAGTTAATTTGTTAGACTATTACATTAATAAAGTGTTTTAATTTAATCCCAAAGGTATATTTTTCTTATAAAATCTCCAAAGAAGTAAATTGTATCAACAATGAGCTTATCAGGTTCATCTTAGCAGGTATATATATTTTTTTCAATCAACCATGGAGATTTCTATCATGTCAATACTAACACACATTACAACTAATTACTAATCTACAACTCATTACTAATCATAACCATTGACTGATTACTAATCGATTATATAATTACAATACCCCCCCCCCTCCGCCTCTAATCACTGCACCTGATATGAGTTAAATGATGACGTCACCCTGCTGCTCTATATAAAACCGGGAGCAAGCGAGGGCTTTACCATTCTGGCGAATTGCCCGATGATGCTGGATGTATTTACCAGCGAAACGTCGTACTGAAAAAACTGTAGATGTTGTGGATTCACTCTTCAACACACCGGTGGGCTAAAGTAGTGAATTATTTGTCTTTTGTCAACGTGACACTTTTTTTTGCTGATTGGCCGTGTCGGGTGGTGGAGGGTTACGACACATTTATAAATAACGCGATCTAACCCAAAAACCTTTATTATGAATAATATTGGTCGCGAAAGCCTACGTGTTAAACTGACATGTTCACACTATTAACAATACTGCTCACATTCAAAATTCCTCTGATAATTATATTACTGTGTTGTATTCATGATATTTAGCCAACGGCGTTCGAGCGTGCGGT